AGCTTTACAGACGAGCGGTGCAGAGACCTTGTGCATGCCTTGTTTGGGAACTGTGGTCCTACCTGTCTATTGCCATGTAATAGAAAAATCATTAAGTATAGGGACAACTGACCATCCCCTGTCACCAGAACAGAAAAGCAGTCCATCTAGTCCTGTATTTCTTGTTCCTGTAGAGGCCTCAGGGTGTACAAGCATGAGTGTAGAGGTGGCAGGCTCTCAGAGGCCCCCAGTTGCATGGGTTCTCATGTTGTCCACCGAACCCCAGGCATCCCCTGGGTATAAGGGGTTGTGGGGCAGCAGTGCCAGCCACTCAGGTACTGAGTCCTCCCATCCTCTCTGACCAGAGCCTCTTTTTCAGGCTCTTATGTCTTTTCGTTTGTGTGTATGAACAAAGGGTTCCTGGCTAAATAGCTGGAATCCCTTTAGTCAGGTCTCAGCCCGTATCTCATGGATGGGGAGACCCAGCAGGGCACCAGGAGTGGCTGATGGCCCTCTGGAATGGGAGCCTGGCACTGCAGTGCCCTCTCGGGCAAGGATGCATCACAGCCACCCCTGCCTGCCTTCCAGAACCTTACGTTAGCTCTGGATGCAGCATCCATGAATTTAAAGCTTTTTGAAACCTGTAGTGCAAGCTTCCATCATGTGTTTGGGTCCTGAACTCTACAGCCCATAGGATTTGGTGCACACACCAGGCTCACTCTTGCTTTGTCAGTTACAACTTCACAAATGTGATTAATTTACTCTTCATTAGCTTAAGGTCTGCTTATCTGCTTAGAGCCTGTTAGTTTTTCTTTTTTCTTTCCTTCTTTTTGTCGGTCTGTTCTCAGAAGAAGCCTGTTCTCCTTCTGATTGTCTTGCCTGAACACTGAGTCTATTCTGTTTTGCCTTTCCCTAGACAAGGCTCTTAGCACTGTGCCACGTGTGCCATGTTCGTGTCTAGCGATGATCCTGGCAGTGACTGGCATGCTCTCTGGCTTTGCTGGCCTGCCAGGCAGGTGTTGTGCCATCTTCAGGAGTTGACGAGACACTGATAT